TACAATCCAGCTTGCAGCATACTAGTAGCAACTTGCAAAAGCTTATAACAAGAAGGTCAATCCAATAGAGTTTCAAGTCGGCGACCTAGTCCTGAGGAAAGTCGTCAGCAATAAGAAGGATCCCAAAGAGGGCAAGCTTGGCCCAAATTAGGAATAACCCTACAGAATCATCTCGGTACTGGGTAATGGGGCATATCGGCTTGAAGATAATGAGGGCAAAGAGTTGCCAAGACCTTGGAACACTTGTAATTTGAAATTTTTCTATCATTAGAATTTCTTTGTTCCTTTGCCATTTGCCAAAGTAAATAAATAAAGATTCAGTTCTCTTTTTAAGATACTTGACATTGTCTCTAGAATACATGCATAATGAGAACCCCAAGTGGAACTCAGATTCACATTAGGGGGCATAAAGAAGAAGAATATGTTTAACACTTGTTGAAATTTGTGGACAATTTACAAGTTAAGTTAAACCGAAATCATTGTTTAACACTTGTTGAAATTTGTGGACAATTTACAAGTTAAGTTAAACCGAAATCATTTGTTTAACACTTATTGAAATTTGTGGACAATTTACAAGTTAAGTTAAACCGAAATCATTGTTTAACACTTGTTGAAATTTGTGGACAATTTACAAGTTGAAGTTAAACCAAAGCCATTATTTAACACTTGTTGAAATTTGTGGACAATTTACAAGTTAAGTTAAACTGAAATCATTTGTTTAACACTTGTTGAAATTTGTGGACAATTTACAAGTTGAAGTTAAACCGAAATCATTGTTTAACACTTGTTGAAATTTGTGGACAATTTACAAGTTGAAGTTAAACCGAAGTCATTGTTTAACACTTGTTGAAATTTGTGGATAATTTACAAGTTAAGTTAAATCGAAATTATTGTTTAACACTTGTTAAAATTTGTGGACAATTTACAAGTTGAAGTTAAATCGAAGTCATTGTTTAACACTTGTTAAAATTTGTGGACAATTTACAAGTTAAGAAGACACATAGAATATTCTAAGTATAGAATCATACAAAAGCAGTCAAAAGAAGACAGTGGTACATGCAAAAGTTGTGTTAGCATTCAACAAAGAGAAAGAACATCGGCCATATGGAGGGCTTACATTGTTTCAAAAACAAAGAAAGAACAAAGTACAAAAGAAAAGACATGGAAATTAAGACTCCTCAGCATCGGTAACAGGCTCTGTTTGGACCTCGGAAGGCTGTTAAGAAGCCACCTCGGCCGCCTTTTCTACCGCAAGCTCGGCATCAATTTCTTGCAAAGTTTCCTTAAGACTCTTCTCGGCAATGGAGACATCGGCTGATGTCTTCTCGGAAGTAGCATTTTTGCTAACTTCCTCATCCTCCTCATCTTGAGTCAAGTCGAGGACTTGCTCATTATGAGGAGGAGACTTGGCCTCAACAGCATCTTTGGACTTCCTTACCAAAACTTCCTCCTCGGCCTCATCCTCAGAATCAGATTCATCACCAGATTGAGCAGGAGTTGTAGTTGGGGCTGGAGGGAATGGAAGAGGAATGAGGTCGGCATTTCTGAAGGGCGAGTCCTTGGGGACGTTAAGCTTCTTTAGAAGAGACATCCAACCAAGGGTGAAACCCTTGTTGCATGCCTATTTCACTTGAAGTTCATAAGTTTCCGTGACATCGGCCATGCCTTGAGCGTATGCCTTTTCGTCGGCGTCCTTAATTTCAGCCTCTTTGGTGGCCAAGGCTTCTTGAAGCTCTTTTTCTGCTTGGGCCATCTTCTCCTCGGCGTCTTTTCTTTGGGCCTCAAAGACCTTCCTGATGGCTTCGGCATATTTAGCCTTTTCTTCGGCATCAATTTAGGCTTTGACAACGGCCTTAGCTTGGTCTTCCAGCTTCTTCATTTTTGACTGTAAGCCTTTATTGGTCTTTTGAAGAGAAGAGAACTCCTTCTTCATCTCGGCCAACTTTTCCCCGTTTTCAAAAGACTGAATTGAAAAGGAATGAGCATGCTGAATGGCCTGAAAGTAAACAAAACAAAAGTTATTAGAAAATTTCTAAGTATGAAAAAGAAGGAAAAAAGTGCTAGATGAAAGACACTTACTTGGACAGAGCGCTGAAGCATCAAGGCATAGTTCTCGTATTCGCTGAACCCGGCATTTCGCTCTAGATCGCCTGGTAGAAGTAGAGCAGTACTGAGCGTAACGCCGACATTGATATCCTCGGCACTATCATTGGCCATGACTGGCTTATCTTCCAAGGTTATTTCAGAGGCCCAAGGGGCAGCAAGCTTCTTAGACCCCGAGGTCGTTACAGAAGATGATCTCGGCTTCTTCCATTTTGGCGATTCGGATGGTTGGACCTCAGAGCGCCTCTTCCCAGCAGAGGGTTGAGATTTGTCACTCTCAGCCAACTTGGATATTGGCAAAGCATTCTCAGTCTCAACTTGAGTAACTTTAGCCTTTGGCTGAGTTTTTTTTATTCTTTTCGGCGTCAGTGGAGGAAGGGTTTGAGTTGGTTGTGCATCAACATCAGAAGGGATGCTGGCCAAGAGATCTTTTGCAATTGGTTTTGGGCAACCCATCTCGGCAATAGAAACTGTTTGGCGTCGACGGCGGCGTTGGGATATTGGAATCAAGTATGGAGCTAAAGTTGACGGTTGCTCAGCTGGATTAGAGGTTGACTCCTGGTCTGTCCGAGATGTGGATGCGGTCTGTGGCATTGTGGCAGAGGGTGGAGAAAGGCTTTTCTTCTTCCTCCTAGGAACGTCGTGCAAAGCTGACTTGTACGTTGGAATAAAATTGAGAAGCAGAGGCGCCGTTCGTTTATGAGCTGGCAGGTCCAAGAGTCTCTTCAAATCCTTGCTGGGAACGAAGGATTGACGAAAGTTCTTTGGTGGCTTAGGAACAGCTGCAAGAAAAGCAAACACTAAGAAATAGATAAAGTACACAAGACTTTAAAAAACAAGTAGGTATGAATGCAGGGCTCTTACCATTGCCCTCTACAAAGACTGATCGAATGAAAGGGAAAAGATGGAGATCTTCATCTGGGGCGAACTCTCAGTTCCCCGAAGTAATGAAATAATCATCCCCAGCTCCCTCGTTGGAGTCAGGGAGGTCAGGGACAATTTTGTATTCAGTGGACCTCGGCTTAAGGTAGTAAACATAGTCGGTGTCTTTTTTGAGGCTACACATAGTGTAGCAATACTGGATATCGGCTAATGTGATCCTAGCGTTCTCTTGTTTTGCTAAGGCTATGATACCATTGATGGTTCGATAGGAGTTGATGGAAAGTCGCATTAGGTTCAACTTATAATAATGAAGAATTTCACGAAAAAGGATGTTGAGTGGGAGCCGAAGTCCACACTCAATGAAGGCTATCACAAGGAAGGGCATGAAATGATCAGTAGGCATGATGGAGTCATTATCCCCAGCCAACCTCAAATGGACGTCGGCTGGGATTTCAAACTCTTGTCTAAAGAATTCTAGTTTAGATGGGGTGTTTACTCTATGTTTCCACATGCCCATGATGTTGGCTTAAATGGAGATATCAGATTTCAGGAAGAAGTATTTTTGGAAGGTTTAAAGGACCTCGGCTAAAAACCTAAAAGTACACTTTGATAAAGGTTTGTATGGATCTAAAGGCAGTTCGTTTCAGTTTTTTCCTAAATTATAGGTTCTACAGACAAATCCCAAAACCTAAGTCTACGGAATCGAAGACTGAAGGAACGAATCTGGAAAAGACACAAAAAACAGAGATAAAAACGAGTTTCAGAATCAAGAACAGAGATGGTCTATCAAGAGCATAAAGAATACACGAAGTATAGGGCCAAGAACAGTGGCAAAAATACAGGGAAGTAGTGAAACAATACGTATGTTCAAGACATGGACAAGGGCAAAATCACACACTCAAATATATGATTCACAGGTCGAAATAATGGCAACAAGTTCAAGAAAAAATTAAGAAACTGGAATAGGAAGGAATAAGTGTATTACCAGAGGAAGAACGAAGCCGGTGTTGAATATTTTCGAGGTCAGACGACGGCGGCGGACGGGAGAATCAGCATGAACTTAGTAGAAGAAAATGAACGACGGTGGTTGCAGAGTTTTGGAAGCTTGAGCAATGGAGGATTTCGAAGGGTAAAACAAGAAAGAGAGAGAAAAAGCTTCAGACGAGAAAGAGTAAAGTGAAAAGACGGGGAAAAAAAATGATTAAATTTGAAACGGCGGCAAAAAGGAAATCAATGACTCCAGAAAAACGAATCTGTCAGGCGGCGCATACAGGTGCAAAAACGATCCACAGGCGCGTCCGGAGTACGATCCAGTAAGAAGAAGACGCGTGGCTAAAACAGTTGAGTTGTTTGTGCACGACAGCTCACAAACAAATAAGGGCACTTAGAAGTCTTGTTTTTTAAAGAAGGCATGTTAGCCCTTTAAATGATGATCTCGGCTAGAAGCCGTTAAGCCAACGAACTGAAAGGAAGCACAGATATAGGTTCCATCACCTCAGAATGTCGAGGTAATAGAACCTAGGAGCAGTTGTGGGGATATACTTTTGAGTACCGACACGTGGCAAGGTGACGCCGACATGTTAGCCGGGGTGCCACGTGTCAGGGTCATGATGCCGAGGTGATCTCGGTTAAGCCGACGTTATCTCCGAAGATATCGGAGTCCGAGAAAAGCGGATAAGGGACAAGAGTCCTAGAATAAAGAGGAGACTTAGCCAATATAAGGATAAAACTCTTAGAGAGTTTATCTTTATCTCTTGTGAAATCCAAAGTAAGTACTGAATGGGAGTCCATAGAAGTCAGGCTTCTAGTAGGATTAAGATTGAGTTGGCTATAAAAGAGAGGCACCCCCGTGGGTCTAAGGTACGCAATTTTATGCTTTGAGCAGTGAGTTTAGCACTTGATTATCTTTGAGAGATATACTAACTTGATCGTCGGAGTGCCCTGGGGTGGAAGAGCCACCGCCGGAGTCTTTTCTTTCTGTTACAGGTTAACTGAAACCATCTATTCTACCAATACTCTCCAGCTGAATACTAAATTAGCAGTGTGGTCAGAAAATTACTCACACAAAAACAAAAAACAATATAAACATAAGAAAGAAAGCCCAAATATAAACCACCTACCGGGTCACGGTACATAGGATACACAGGAATTTCTTCGCGGTTTAGGAACATGGCTTCTGCAACTACAGGTCCTATTAGGCACAACATCAGATTGATTAGAACTAAACAAGGAAAACAAAACAGGAGAAACTATGTTTTACCTTTTAATCTATAAATAACTAGCATTGATTTAAGAGGTCAATTTGTGCTCTCAACATTCAAAATTAAGTCATAAATAAGAAACAGAAGTACCGGGCTTGACGACGTGGCGATTGGTGAGAATAATCCCGCGCTGCTTATCAACGACAAAGCCCGTGGCGTGGCTGGCACCGGCAGATTCGGTGTCGAAAGCCCGACAAGCGGTGGTCCGAAGCACGACCACCGCCGGAACCACCTTATCAAGCGCCTTCCGCCAGTCATCGGCGGTGGCAAGATTATCTCTGATCGGCGGATCAACCTCCACCATGCACAGCTCCTCCTTCATACTCGACTCCTCCGATCCCAACCTCTACAGATGATCAGCCATACCTTAGTACCCCTCTCTCTGTAAATCACAGACCGAAACCCTAACTGAGAAAAAAATCGAGAATTGGAGTGGAATAGTGAGGGAGTGGTTTTGGGTTTTAGAAGACAGGAGGGATGAATGAGAATTACATGTAGAGAGGGAGAGACAAATTTGACGGAGTTGAGATGCAGTGTGAGTTGGGTTGGGTGCTGACAAGACCACTCACACTCGTAGAAAAATGTTTTAGAGCTCTAAAAAAAGAGCTCTAAAATAGCATTAATTTGTCTTCTTCCTCTTTTTGTTTTGTCTTTTTCCTCTTTTTTTTTGGGAAGTGTGCCAGCTCAGTAGAGCTACTGTTACAGCAGCTCTACTGAAGCTCTCTAACAAAGCTGATGTATACAAAGTATATAAACTTGTATGGATAAATTGATTTATATCTAAAATATAACTAAGTAATAAATGAATACATATTCAGTTGAAAAATTTAAATGATAAATAAGGAATTTTACAAATATAAACATTAATTTATAACTAGATTGTTGAGACCACAATCTTATCTTAAGGAATAAATAGAGGAAATATCATTTTGCCCCCCAAACTTTCATGCGTTTTTCAATTTGACCCCCAGATTTCGATTAATATCAATTTTACAACCAAACTTTCAGAATTTTGATCAATTTGGCCCCTATCATCACATTTTGTTATTGGACGGAATGTGCTGACATGGTACCAATGTTCATTTGAAATTTTATTTTACCCCTCAAACTATACCTTAAAAATTAATTTGCCTCCCAAATTAAAAATCAATATTTATCTCCCAAACTATACTTTAAAAATCAATTTGCCCCCACGTCAGCATATTTTGTCCAATTGTAAACAGAATGTGACGGCATGGGTCAAATTGATTAAAATTTCAAAAACTTGAGTGTAAAATTGATATTAATCAAAGTCTAGGGGTCAATTGAAAAACGCATGAAAATTTGGGGGCAAAATGATATTTCCTCTATTTTAAAAATGAATTTGAAATGAAAGATCTTGGCAAAATGAAATTTAGTCTCAACCTACAAATCGAACACTTGCCAAATGGGAATCTAGTACATCAATCAACATATGCAGAAAAAGTCTTGAAGAACTTTTATATGAATAAAACTCATTCTTTGAGTACTTCTATGATTGTTCGATCACTTGATATAAAGAAAGATTCTCTTCTATTTATTCAAAATAATGAAGAACTCCTTGGTCCTGAAGTACCATATCTTAGTGCAATTGGTGCTCTTATGTATCTTGCAAATTGTACCAACCTAATCTTGCATTTGCTGTCAACTTACTAGCAATATATAGTTCTGCACCAACCTAAAGACATTGGAACGGAGTGAAGTAGATATTACGTTATCTTCGCAGAACAATAAGTATGCATTTATTTTATTCAAATAAACCAAGGCCACAACGAATTGGATATGCAGATGCTAGATATCTTGGCGATCAGTAAAACAAATATTGACTACTACTTTAAGTTACTCAAAGATACTTG